TTTTAAAAAAAATATTTATTTTTAAATTATAGGTGGACACAATATCTTTATTTTATGTGGTGCTGAGGATTGAACCCAGTGCCTCACGCATGCTAGGCGAGCACTCTACCTTTGAGCCACAACTCCAGCCCGTAAACTGTGTTTTAATAAGACTATATGTGTATATTTAATCATCACAAAAACCTTGAGAGGTAGCTGACTTTTTTCCATGAGCAAATTCTTTCTCTGGGTCATAGAGCTGGAAGTAATCTTAGCACCTCATATTTAGATCTTATCTGATACTGGACACTGTGCTAACAATTTTGCCTGTATTTTGTATTTAATTTGCACAGTAACCTCATGAGGTAGGTGTTTTCAAATCCAGTTTCACAAATGAGAGGAGTGAAGTAACTTCCTCAAGATTTGGTGAGGGAGTTTGAGGGTGCTGTTTTCAGAAAGTGGCAAGCCAAAATCCAAGCCCAGTTTGCCTGATACTCCCTTCTCTACATTGTGATGTTTGGTCCACTGAAGGAGACTGTTCTGTTCTCTGTGTTAGTTGTTGTTCATACTGAACCTCATGGCTTTGAGTGAGCTTGTGCATATTCCTCACAACAAAGTTCTTGCTAATGTGTAAATCAGAAGAGCTATGGGTAGTTCCCGAAAGAGGATGAAGAGGGTCAAACTTTAGCAATGCAACTGATATTCCCTATGTGGGAGATGTGCCAACACTGACACGTGGATGTCACCTCCTTTTTCCTCTTTCAGGTCCCACAGCTAAAGCCAGGCTTGATTTCTTTGTTGGAAAGTCACAGACACACTTTAAAATGTTTATTACTGACAATATTCATTCCCCGCTTCTTGAGGATCATGGGCATTTTATATGTGGGAAGAAAGAACGGGAAGTGAAAAATCAAGTAACAGAAAACCATCCACCTGTGGAAACTCCCTGAAACCAAGTGGGATGAGACCATCATAGTAGTATTTGGTTCAATCTAAATTAGCCAAATTCTTACAACAAAGAGATTCTTTACCTCATAAGCCACGGTACTGAACAAATAGAGACAGAGTGTATTTTGGCTTTTCCATTTGACCTTTCCATAATTTTAATCAAGGATATCACAGATTCCACATAAATAGATCATTTTACAGTTGGTTGCCAAATCATTTACACTTCATGAGTCTGGATCCAAGTGGTGACCAACGGCTCTTATAGACCAAGCTCCCAACTGTAATTAATCCTTTTCTCATCTGTGTGCCTAAAGAAATTTACTTTTAATCTTATTTATGGACTCTACCACACCCTGCCAGTATTTATTTACAGAAGTGCTTTTTAATATATTTATTTTAAAGTGTTTCTTTTGAAACAGTTGCTTATTAAAATAAGTAGGGAAAATATCATATACTTTTTCTTGTCCTTTAGATGCAGGTCTTCTGGGATTTTGATAGCCAGTGTACTTTAATAGTTTGTCTTAGAGGAAAATGAAAATATAAAGGAATCTAAATGAGCAGAATTGATGTGCATCCAAAACTTGAGAGCAATTACTGAAAGTCCAGATTGGAATCTTATTTTAGTACACTGCTGGCCTTTATTATCCATTATTCATTTTCTTAACCCTTTTTTAACGTAGAAAAGTGTCTGTCTTATGACAGGAAGCTGATGAAATTGCATTAAATAATCTAGCTCAGGAAGAGCAACTTCTCAAATGCCATCTAAGTAGTGCCTGTGACTTAACATATGCTGTTTCTTCAAAAGCTCAGAGAATCAGACTCACATCATCTAACATAGGCGGGTACTATCCTGCCTTCCTTGAGTTCTCTGGCAACATAAATCATCTTGATTTTTGTGATTAGAAACTGGATAGGAAGAGAATGAATATTGAATGAAGTCTTGGACCAACTGTGCTTCTGATTGACTCTGTAATACTAGGAAAGTAATCTTGCTTCAGAGTCCATCTATTATACAAATCAGGTATAAAATTATGCCTATGACTTATTCTAGGGTGTTTTATTTTTATTTTAACATTTTTATTTGTTTTAATTAGTTATACATGACAGTAGAATGCATTTATGCACTTTGATATATCATACATAGATGGGATATAATTTCTCATTTTTCTGAGTGTACATGTTGCAGAATCATATTGGTCATGAAGTCACATATATACATAAAGTAATAATATCTGTTTTTGGGGGGCTGGGATTGTGGCTCAGTGGTACAGCTGCTTGCCTAGCATGATCGGGTCTCTGGGTTCGATCCTCAGCACCACATAAAAATAAGTGAATGAAATAAAGGTATTGAGTCCAACTACAACTAAAAATAAATAAATAAAATATTAAAAAAATAATATCTGTTTTATTCTACTATCTTTCCTATCCCCACATCCCCTCCCCTCCCCTCCCATCACTTCCTTCTACCTAATCTAAGGTAATGCTATTCTTCCCTAGTGCCCCACACCTTATTTTGAATTAGCATCCACATACTAGAGAAAACATTTGGCCTTTGGTTTTGTGGAACTGGTTTATTTCGCTTAGTATGATATTCTCCAACTCCAACCATTTACTGACAAATGCCATAATTTCACTCTTCTTTAAAGCTGAGTAATATTCCATTGTGTATATATCACATTTTCTTTATGTATTCATCTATTGAGGGACAGCTAGGTTGGTTCCATAGTCTAGCTATTGTGAATTGAGCTGCTATAAACATTGATGTGGCTGCGTCATTATAGTATGCTGATTTTAAGTCCTTTGGGTATAAACCAAGGAGTGGGATAGTTGGGTCAAATGGTGGTTCCATTCCCAATTTTCGAGGAATCTCCATACTGCTTTCCATAGTGGTTGCACCAATTTGCAGTCCCACCAGCAAGGTATGAGTGTGCCTTTTTTACCACATCCTCGCCAACATTTATTGTTGCCTGTGTTCTTGATGATTGCCATTCTGACAGAAGTGAGATGAAATCTTAGAGTAGTTTTGATTTGCATTTCTCTAATTGCTAGAGATGTTGGACACTTTTTCATATATTTGTTGATGAATTGTATTTCTTCTTCTGAGAAGTGTCTTGTTCAGTTCCTTTCCCCATTTACTGATTGGGCTATTAGTGGGGTTTTTGGTTCTTTGTGTGTGGGTGTGTTAAGTTTTTTGAGTTCTTTATATATCCTAGAGATTAATGATTTATCAGAGGTTCATGTGGTAAAGATTTCCTCTCAGTCTGAAGACTGTCTTCTCAAGTTATTAATAGTTTCCTTTGCTGAAAAGAAGCTTTTTAATTTGAATCCATCCCATCTACCATTTATTGATTCTTGATTTTACTTCTTGTGCTTTAGGAGTCTTGTTAAGGAAGTCAGATCCTAGGCCAATGTGGTCAGATGTGGACCTATTTTTTCTTCTGTTAGGCTAAATGAACAAATGGAGTAATTTAATAAAACATTAAGCTTTTTAGAACAAAATAGTAAAAAAAACCTATGAAAATTATTAGTACTAATAATTTACTTACATTTTACTTTTTGGGAATAGATTCTTGTTTCATTTTATTGTTTAGGCCAGGTGTCCTTTAGTCCATTTGATTCTCTCTGATTTATAAAGAAGCAGAGTAAGAAAATATCTAGAGTGCCTATGACAGGAAACACCCTGACAATCCTTACCTTTAGGCTAATAGTTTCACAATGCAGAACCTTCAAAGATCAGAGTGGATTCCAAAGTTGAGCAAAACTTGGACTTAGATTAAATCTTTTCTCTCCTATACTTTGTTTTCCTTACTTTTTTTTCTTCTGCCTTTATGTGCTCTCATTTATTTATTTATTTATTGTTATGAAAGACTCATCTTTCTAGTTTCCTTTAATAATAGTAAACAAATATTTTTGACTTTTTGTTAGTTAAGAACCAGACTGGTTAGATTCTAGGAAAAAGTAGTAAACAAGGCATTCTCTTCTCTTCCTCCATCCTCCATCTCATATTTAAAATGTCATCCATCAAATAAACACTGATGTGTTTTTCTTTTAAGGTTGGCATCAGCAGGATCTGAAACATGGCAAACTAAAAGTTGGGTTAAGGGCTTTGGTTGGATGGGGTGAGGACCATGCTAATTTGCATTTCAAATGTTAAATCAACTATGAGGTCCCCAAAGACAAAAAATGATAGTTGTAATTTTGCATTTCCATAAATAGAGAATAGTCTGTGTTACAATTTATTTTATAGTATATGTCTTCTCACAAGAAGAGAGATTTATGGGACTAGGGTTGTGGCTCAGTGGTAGAGCACTTGCTTAGCATGTGCGAGGCCCTGGGTTCGATCCTCAGCACCACATAAAAATAAATAAAATAAAGGTATTAAAAAGAGAGAGAGAAAGATTTATCTGATAAGCATTTTAATAAAAATATTATGTTTTAATTTTCACACCCATAAAATTTTGAAAAATGAATAAAATATTTCCAAATGGATTGGTTTAAGAAATAAATTAAGTTCTTCAGTGATATCTTAAATAAAGAAATGATGCCACATTTTATAATAGTAATTTTTAAATTAGATTAAATATTGTTTTTTTTTAAATTTACATTATTTAGTTAGTGCTTATTTTCACCATTTGCCATGATATACTTTCTCACATGTGGTCCAAATTTCTAAAAGTTACTTATTCTTATTTAGTTAAGATCCAATTTATGAGATTTTTACTGTACATGAAGCAAGTGATCAACTTAATCATTAACAATCATTTCTTTCATTAGTCAAAATATATTGAGTGTATTTTAGTAATATATATATTTTTTGAACTGAATCAAATTTTAATTCCATTTTCTTAAATGTTGTTTCTTATCAGATTAGAACACAACAGATGTGTTTAAATCTTTGATTATTTTATCTAGATAAAATGTGAAGTTATAATAAAAATTTATTGTATCCTTTTGTTGTTATTGAAGAATTTTTAATAACTAACTTTATTTAAAGAGAGACATGAAATATGCTTTTAGATTGTTTCTGTTTTATTTTTATGGTAAAAAATTGTTCAATTGTCCTTTGCTTACAGTTAATATCTCAATATCTAATGATACCATACTGGCCCCAGAGGATTTTCCAACTGTTTCTTCCACTGACATGGTAAGTGACTTAAATTTCAAGCCAGCTGTCTGCTGACCGTATTCTGTGTACTTTTTGTAATAATAATATTCATAATATGATGTCATCTCCCATTCTGCAATTCTAACATGAATGAACATTTAATAATCCTTGGTAGTAGAGAGACTGAAAAAGAACACTTTTATTTGCTCTAGTTAACCTTTTTCCTCCTGTTGAAAAGAAATTGAAGCCACAGTTTATTTGTAACATGCTTTCGAATCTTCATAAGAATTTAACTTCTATATTCCATTAACTGTGACCTTGAAATATTTTCACAAGGAAAAATGAGAGTTGTGGAAAAGAGAGCCTGGTATTCTCTCTGTAGCATGGTTAAGAATTCTGACTGGCCAAATGGTGCTGTGTTCTCTTCACTACGGGAGATTGCAGCAGGACATTTCCCCTGTCACTTAGAAAGGCCTCCATCACATGGTATCCTTTCCCATGGCTTGTAACCAAGGATCTTTAAGGCACTGGAACTAAGCTTTAAAAATGAGCTGTTTTGCATGGAAGGTCACACACTGGAAGGAGACTTTTATATTGGAGAAAAAGGGGAAAGTGCCATTTCAGGCTTCTAATTGTGCTCCTTTTATGCTGAATATGGAAACTTACCAAAGAATATCAGCCTTTCAGTTTTAAAGACAGAAAGAATAATACCTTGTATTGATAGAGTGCCCATCTCTCAGGAGACCAGAACACTTCTGCAGATATTATGGAGTGAGTGCCCACAACATCCCTTTCAGAGATGATGTTTTGTATCCTTCCTGGGCAACTCTTACATGACCCCATTTCTCTCTTATTTTCATATTCTGTGGCTCTCTTCTTGACTTCTTTCCTCACTGTTAGAGTTTTCTCTGACTTTCTTCAAACCTTACCTCTCTATTTTTTCATGTTTGATTTTATGTGTGTGTGTGTGTGTGTGTGTGTGTTTATGAGAGAGACAGACAGAGAAAACAAGGTCTGCATAGTGCTTCATGTAGAAGGACTTTGAGTGACTTTTTGTGCCAGACTGTCTGGTTTCAAATGCAGGGCCCGTAACTTAACAGGCTGTAGACGCTTCTCAGTGATCTATCTGTAACATGGTAATGATAATAGTTCTCAGGTAGTATAAAGGTCAAATTAATAGATAGGCTGTGCTTAGCAGACTGACATATAGTCATCTCTCTTCCCGTGTTGGGTATGTTATTATTCTCTTTATTATGACCACACCACTAAACCATTCTACCTCCATAACGCAGAAGGTTAGTAGGGAGAAGAAGTTAGAAGCCACTGCTTTTGATAGACTGCTGAGTCCTCTGTTTGCTTGACCATGGCAGCTCTGCTACCCTGAACCTTTCCTAGGACACGCAGTCATCAGGACTTCATTTCTTTCTTTCCATTTTAGTCGTAATTGATGATGAGAAGGTGCAGTAGAAGTGACAGGCAGCCCCTGGGCCAGCAAGCCTGACTCTCACAGGGCCCCCCTGAGAGCATCCTGTCAGAGGAGGGAAGGCCTTTTCCCTTCAGCTTCATTAGCATGAAGACAAGTTTTCTTCTTCCTGGTGGTAGGGGTATGTTTCAGCAGGAAAGAGCAGGAAAGAGCAGGAAAGAGCAGGAAAAGGGGACATTTGAGCTTCTAGACAGAGACTAGAACTCTAGAAAAAGAGACAGGATTTTCAGCATTTCCATTTATTGTTGAAACCATTGCGTTTCATTTTATCTCACCTTACCCAATTTTCCTGTAGATTTCTCACTTGTCATTTCCCTTTAACCTGCAAATGATTTTTTTTTTTTAAAGAAAGTCCCTGAAAAACATTGAAACCACACATAGCTGATGGATAGTGTATTTAAATGAGGAGCATTAAGATCTGCTGTCTTCCAGTTTCTAGATCTCAGGAAGGGTCCACGTTTCAAACTCTGATATAAGTCTCTTCTAAGCAAGTACTTGAAAGGATTATTAATATTTGTATTAACATCAGATTTCTTTTTTAAAAATTTAAATTGAGACATCCCTTACAGTACACAGTTCTGAAGCATTCATTGAAGTGAGTTTCAACAGTTGTGTACCCGAGGCAGCTACCATCCAAACAAGAGAAAGAATATTTCCATCATCCTGAAAGTCCCATTGAATGCTGTGTATCTTGTTTTGTTCCTCAGCTTTATTAGCCTTGGGAGATATTTCTTTGCCTAATTTCTCTATCCTAAACCTTCAGAGGGCAGATTCCTTAGTCCTTTCAGAAGGCTTCTTTCCGTTGAATGTCTCAGAGAGATTTCTCTCAGCTCTGCTTCCCTGCCTCCCATCTTTTTATTTATTTATTATTTTTAATTTTTTTAAAATTTATATGACAGTGGAATGCATTACAATTCTTATTACACATACAGAGCACAGTTTTTCATATCTCTGGTTGTATATACAGTATATTCACACCAACTGGTGTCTACATACCTGTACTTGGGATAATAATGATCATCACATTCCACCATCATTAATAACCCCATGCCTGCTCCCTTCCCCTCCAACCCCTCTGCCCTATCTAGAGTTCATCTATTCCTCCCATGCTCCCGCTCTCTATCCCACTATGAATCAGCCTCCTTATATCAAAGAGAACATTTGGCATTTGGATTTTTGGGATGGCTAACTTCACTTAGCATTATCTTCTCTAACTCCACCCATTTACCTGCAAATGCCATGATTTTATTCTCTTTTATTGCTGAGTAATATTTCATTGTGTATATATGCTAGATTTTTTTTATCCATTTATCAATGGAAGGGCACCTAGGCTGGTTCCACAATTTAGCTATTGTGAATTGTGCTGCTATAAACATTGATGTGGCTGTGTTCCTTCTTAAGAAAGTGACTTTCTTGCCTTTGGTGGGAGCTACATGTGTCTAAAGGAGATTTCTCTCTGGTCTCCAATTCAACCACCAATCTTTCATGTCTTGTGGTGCATTTGGCAAAGACCATGAAAAAATTTGGTGAGTGACTATACATCCTAGGACTCCTTTGAATTCTAATCTGCAGTCATTAAAATTTCGTTAGAGATTTGACTTATTTCTCCTCATTTGGATATATCTTTCACCTGCTGTATCTTTTACCTGCTTCTCTGTGATGAAGCAGCCCTAGGTCTCTTCTGTTATGAAGGACTGGTACTATTTTGAAATTTTGTTTATTTAGATTTCTTTGCATCCTCGTCTACTTGATCTTAACCTTTTATTTATAGTATTACCCTCAATTATATGTAAAAGGTCCATATTTTATCAGTCAATACTCAAGGAGAGTAGTGTAGGACCTTTATTTATTTTTTGCTTATTATCCAGTGAAGCATATCATGTCCATGCAGAGATGTTGTTAATCATAGGACTAAGAACTATTACCATCACATAAATTATGCTTGACAGTCAGACATGGAAGCAAAAGTGGTTTGATTTGATGTACCTTCAGGGTGATTCTAGGAGTTAACATTCATTTTCATGGGAAACGGAATGTCATATTAATCTCCTTGTGCATAGCATCCTTGTGATTTTTCTCCCATTGAGAAAGTCAAGTGTAAACATCATTCTGTCCTTAAGTCTCCTTGGATACATGTGCTCTTATTTTCAAAATTATTACAGAAAGTTCCAAATACACACCAAAATAGAAGAGTATAAGTGACTCTTATGTACACAGCATCTCACCTTAATGGCTCTCAACATTTGCTCCAACCTGCTTCATATTGCTCACTTTTTCATTTGCGGATGATGCTATGGTGTTTACATATTGAAATAAATCAGTCAGCATACATTCTACTGTTAAGAATTTGAAGCACAGCTACTCATGTAAGGAGAATAATTTTCTTGAAAATAAAAGCCAGAAAAGTAGATTGAAATCAGTTGAAGACCCTTAGCAACTTAGACCCATTTCCTGTACATCTTTTTTTTTATTCCTCACTGCCCCTTTACACAAACAATCTGCTTCATCCCATCTGGTCCACGTACTGTTAGCTTCTTCCATCACCAAAAAATGATGAGCACTCATGCATTTAAAATTTTTTTCTTTTAAAAAATTATTACTATTTTTTGTTATTTATTTGTAATTATTTATTATTATTTATGTATTCTACTTAGTTGTACATGACAGCAGAATGCATTTCAATTCATTGTACACAGATGCAATGCAACATTTCAATTCTCTGGTTGTACACAGTGTAGAGACACACCATTTGTGCAATCATACATGTACCTAGGGTAATGATGTCTATCTCATTTCATCATCTTTCTTCCCCTCCCCTTTACCCAATCCAGAGTTCTTCCATTCTTCCCACCATCATTGATCAGTATCCACTAATCAGAGAAAACATTTGGCCTTTAGATTTTTGGGGATTGGCTTACTTCGCTTAGCCTAATATTCTCCAGCTCTATCCATTTACTTGCAAATGCCATGATTTTCTTCTCTTTTAATGTTGAGTAATGTTCCATTGTGCATATATACCATAGATTCTTTATCCATTCATCTATTGATGGGCATCTAGGTTAGTCACTCATGCATTTTTTTAAAAAAATTATTTTTAGTTGTAGATGGACACAATACCTTTATTTTGTTTATTTATTTATTTTTATGTGGTGCTGAGGATTGAACCCAGTGCCTCACATGTGCGAGGCAAGCGCTCTACCGCTGAACCACTACCCCAACCCACACCCATGCATTTTTAATAAGGACTTATTGGTTAGGCAAATGAATCACTGTATGTCCCCCCACATCAGCATTTTTGTTCATAGCTTCTAATTCTTTTCCTTTCTTTTTGTGAATACATGAAGAAATGCACATCCAGAGTTGGTCACTGGTATTCCTGTGTTCATTGTTCCCTTACTCTGTCATTCCTATATCTAATTGGATAAGCATTGCCAAATTTAACAAATAAAAATAAATATCGATAAATATTTAATAAACAAATAAAAATAAGTATTGAACAATATTTTAATATAACTGTGTCCTAAATAGTGCATAGGGACAGGCTTAATAATAAAAATATTATTCATTGTTTGGCTGAAATTCAAGTGTAACTGGGAATCCTGTGTTTTACCTGGTAATTCTAAATTGAAAGTTATTTTACTTTAATTTTTTTCTCTAGGTAGAAAGGGTAGATAAATTGATAGAGTTCTTCTTTGACTGTATCAAATATTCCAGCCCTGATGAAAGATTTTATTCATTCAGTTAAGTAAGATTTCTCTGGTGCCCACTGTGTTCTAAGTTGAACTCTCCTCTGTCTTGGTCTTCTATTTTCCTCCTTCCTTATTTTCTATTATTATTATTATTATTATTTTTTGATGATGCACAGTCCCTTTGGCCCTCAAGCTCTATACTTTTATCAGTTTTGTCTTTCAGCCATCCCAGTCCAACAGTTGCTCAGTCTTTATCTGTCTTTCCCCCTCTGATCCTTTTTTTTTTGTCGTTTTTTTCTCTGTTCTTGTTATTCTGGTTATCCCTTTCCTCTTCCATCCCCATTCTTATCTACGGAAACACCTCAAAAGTCTTCACTAACCCTGAGAAATTTGTTTTGACCTTGCAGGGCTCATGTGTTCTAGCTTATTCTTCACTACTGTATTCCTTGGGAAAAAATAGTCTGTAATTAATTGCTGTTGGAATTTTTTCACTCCCACTCATATCTCAGCCCATTGTACTTCTCCTCTTACTTTTCACTCCGATGACTTCCACGAACCTTTTCTCACTCCCATGGATGCACAGGATGGTTCACGGTCTTTTTTTCAACATCTTTGTAATTGTAGTAAGTCTGATGGATCCGGGGATCAGATCTTTACAGATGACTTTTAAGTCAATATCTCCAAACTTGACATCTCTTCTGGATTCAGCTCTCCTGGCTCATTAGACATCTCTTCAAGCATTTCCAAAGTCATAACACTAAACTGCAGTACAAATGAAAATAGAAAGTTATAAGTATCCCAAGAAAAAGACAGAATGTGTTGTAAGAGTTCTGATAGGCAGAGGGGAATTCCGTTCCCATTTGTCTTGTTCTTAAAAGTTCTTATTTTGTAATTTAAGCACTGCACGAAGAATTTTGCATAGGAAATAAAGGTCAAAACCACAGAGAATCATCTCTAAAGGGGTTAAGGACAGTGGTAGTGAAGTGAGCTCAGTTTCCTGCATCAAGCCTATAGGAGGTAATGGCTTAACAAAGATGGTAGTGATGGGCATGGGTTAATTTCTTCATGAAATGTATCCTGCCAGAAGATTGATAGAGTTAACCTTCATTGACATCAGCTGATATAAAATGACAACTCTTAAATAATAAGGATAATACAGATGTCTTTTCAGTGATATTTAAATAGAATTATTTATTTGATATAACTTAAGTTTTATGGGAAAAGAAAACTGTGTGTGCAGAAATATTATACATGCTGAGATCATGGAAGCTGCCTAAAGGTTTTAAACTGAAGTCCTTAGGGAAAGATGCTGTTTGGAGGCAAAACAAATTTGATATAATGATATAGAGAATCGTTTGGGGCTTACAAAATATGGATGCTGGTATTTTATGTTAATGTAAGCAAGAAAACATGCTCATCATTTGTTTCATGTACACCTGTGCAATTTCACTTCAATCTGAATCTTTGTAAGAAAATTGATAAAACTGCCTATTGTGATTGTTTCAATGCATCTCACCTCTTTGGGGAACTCTATGAAAAGGATTCTTGCTGATTATCAAAATGCAGAAGTGAAATTTGGGTACATTTTTGCTGATTTTAAAACAAAGAAATCTGTTACTATTAGGATCTCTAAACTTTAAATGCATTCTCCTAAAATCATCCACATGCAGAAATCTAAAAAGTAAAATGAGACATGATTAATCACCTTTTCCAGGAGCAGGGTTTGATAAAAGAGCAGTTATGCAATTCAGCTGTTTACAAGTTGAAGTTAACATAGAAAATTCAAGGACAGATCTAGAGTTTATTTTTTTATTGACTTATGTAAACACTTTACCTTTTGAGCCCTAAAAAAATATGAACTCTTTCTGTCCAGAGAGTCTTTTATAACTAGGTTGCTCAGCTCAAGAGAAATTTATAAAATGGTAAAAAAATGTTGGTGATATGGGTTTGGTGCGAGGCAGATCTCTTTCCTGTAATGGACAGGAGACATTTATCTGTCCACATTTATTTGCATGGTGTTTTCAAGTAACTCTTCTGTTAGCACATGATATACTTATTAGTCCTGGATCCATAAGTATAGAAGTTAAAGTATTTATAATGTTTCTAAGCTGAGACACCCATCCTTTATACCCAACCACATTGGCATTCATTTAGACGGGTAAGATTTCAAAATCTGTCTCCTGGAAATGGCCATAGTTGTCAAGGTATACAAGAGAACTTTTTGTATATCAAAAGAAACTCACTCAAAGTATAAGCATTTAAGAAGACTCAAATATAAAAAATAGCTGCACAGGAATTTTAGTAAGAAAGGGAATGAGCTACCAGGAACCTGCTTATCACAGAAATTGTTCAAGCAGAGGATGAATGATCATCTTTCAGGACAATTGAATACTAAGGGTTTTGAGCAATCACATGAAATTATCTCTAGATTTTCTCCACACTATTATATTCTAGAAAAAGTTCCTTAGGGTTAGAGGCCATTAATTTTCAGTAGCCAGTAATTCAAGTAAATTGGCTGTTTTGGAAACAGAATCTACTACAGGAATTTCAGGTGCTGTTCTCAATAAAAGCAGTGAAAGAAAGAGAAGCAGTGTGGGACACGGAAGGAGTTAAACAAGGATATGGTTCCAGCTGAGTTTAGCATTAGCCTAATTCCACGGAGAGTTCCAGGGCCTAAATTGTGCCAGAGAGCTGCTTCTACTTTGAAACAAAGAGGATAGTTTTTTCTCTCTGTAGCTGATGGTCAGTAATGGGCTATGAGAGACTAACAGTCCAGGTAAGGTAGCTCTTGTGTGGTTAAAGGCAGTTCTCCAGGAAAAGAGCCAGTTGTGAGCTAATAGCAGCTAATTAACAGGGCACCTTGGGGTGAGTGCCTGGCCATACTGATAATAGCCAAAGGGTTCTGCTGTGTATTAGAAACAGAAAATAGAGGAATGAGCTGCAAGAGACGAGTGCAGCACTGACATGACAGCAATATATCAAAAGTGGCTTATACATTTGAGGCCATGTAATATAGGGATAGTGTCCTGTACAAGAAGCCACTGACTTTAAGGCATCACAGCCATTCTAATGATGAATGCCTGTAATGCTGACCTGGAGTTGACAAGAAAAAATGAGAAAAGAAATAGTCTATCTGAAAAGTGTTCTCTGAGTAGTGAGCCTGTTGAATGTTGAGAGCATTAATAGGGCCATCAAACAGATGCATACAAAGCTGTGCACTGCCAAAGTACTTTTTGAACAAGAAAGGTGTTTCTGAGAGTCTCCCATTTGAGACTTAGGATGTTCATGTACCTCAGTTTACTCTCGGAGTATTGACAGGAAAGGACTTTGGGGTTTGTTTCCATTAAACAAATGGGTGATGGTAAGGTGGCAGCACAAGCTAGGTAACAAGTTGCATCTTTCTCATGTAGTTTCAGTAATTGCTCATGTCTGTGTCGCCTCACCTATTATTCCAGTAAAGTCTTACCAGTTTTCATTCTCTAAAGGTTGTCTCAGAATTTTGCAGAAACTTTTACTATAATCCCTATATTGTCCATCAAGTATCAAAAGCTGCTTTTGACATATCAGTATTCCCTAAAACCAAAAAACAAAAACAAAAACAAAAATCTTTTTTTCTTCTTCAGTACCATAATTCTACCTTTGACTGGGAATTTTTGTCGAAGAAGGAGTGTTTGAAATACGGAGGAAAGCTTGTGGGGAACAACTGCGATTTTGTCCCTGATATCACACTTATGTCTTTCATCCTCTTCTTGGGCACCTACACCTCTTCTATGGCTCTGAAAAAATTCAAAACCAGTCGTTATTTTCCAACCACAGTAAGTATCTGAGATTTAAATAATGTTTGTTGTATTTGCACTGCATCAACAGTAATACAATTTTAGTTTTTATTGATGCATTATAATTATACATAATATTGGGATTCATTATGATATATTTGTACTTGCACATAACATAATCTTGGGAAAGGGAGATACCAGAGAATGAAATTGCATAATAATACAGTTTTACAAAATGAAAATAGACCTATAGTTCATTCGGTCAATATAATTTTGTGCACTTTAAAAATTACATTCCAGTTCATATGGTGTGTGTTTAACATAATTGAAACCCAGCTTTGAGAAACCTTCCAAAGATTGGGTAGCATAATTCTATAATAAAATCTGTCATAATTTTGAATGTACTGAAAAGTAGAATATGTCTAAGAATTATTGAGTAAAGAGAAAGACCTTGTAAAGGTATAATATGAACGTATATGAGGGGAAAACTCTTCATGTTAATCGGGAATATCTGTGTTGTGGAATTTCTTGTTCATTGACTGTATATGTGAGTATTTTCATACTTGAATTATAGGCTGTAGGAGTAAACTTAGATGGTATTGTTACACTAGTATTGATGTAATATATGACTGTCAGCTGAGCCAAACTTTCCTTCTCATAGTGATTAATGCCAGAGTACTGATAATTGAACTGGGTTGTGCAGACTTCCTGTCTCCCATTAATATGCTTGAGTGAACTTGAAGTCAAAACTGTGGTTCTTTGAGACTACAAGATAAGGCCAACATTTAGATAATAGCATTTTTTTGTTTACTTGTAGAATGAATCTAAGATAATGCTTTGCTTTACAGCTTGGTTCTTAGTATTTAGGATGTCAGTATTTCTTAGGTAATCTGAATTACACCTGATTTCTATCAGTGACCTGCTCTGTACACCTGGCATCTCATGAAATCTTTCCTTTGTTTTTTGTGTAGAAGAACTTTAGAAGTTGAGTAGCACTCAATGAAAGGCTGTTTTTTTTTTCTAATTCCTAGGAAATGAAACTTAAGATATTCACTTTCACCCAAGATATTTTGGACTCTCTTAGTCTTCTTATAAAATTGAAAATAAAGGGAAGGGTTGATAATAAAATGTCTAGAATTAGATGGCCCAAGGAATGAAAAACTTCCACCAAAGAAAATGTAAAAAGAAGTGTTCAACTTAATTTGCTAACGGACGTCACAAACTGGTGGTTCACACACAGAATCGAGCACACAGCCATTCTTTGTTTACACAACAGTGTGTAAACACACACATATATAATTGAAGCCTTAACTAGAACCTATACTTTGAGGTAGTCATTGTCTTTTCAATGCTCTGTTGTCTGAGACTTCCCTACATACTGGACATGGTGGTGCATGCCATAATTTCAGCTACTTGGGAGGCTGAAGCAGAGGATCATGAGTTCAAGGCTAGCCTTGGAAATTTAGTGAGACCTTGGAGAAAGTGACCCTGGGATGAATCACCAGAACAACAACAACAAAAAAATATCCTGCATCACACAGGCAGACTAGGTGCCTGTTTCTGACTGTACTAACTTACATGTTCAGAAATGTGCTTACTTGATCTTTTTTTCAACTGAGTTTTATATAAAATAGATTCCTTGGTAAAGGTCTTTGGGGACAATTGCTTGTCTACTGAGGTTTTTCCTTCATAATTATTAGTTCATTGGGCATTCTTGATTTTTACTTGTTTATTTTTATTGCTTTTTATTCTTTTGGTACTGGGGATTGAATCTAGGAGTGCTTAACCCTAAGCCCTTTACTTTTTATTTTGAAACATTGTCTCACTAAATTGCTGAGGCTGGCTTTAAACTTCTGATCCTCCTGCCTCAGCCTCCCAAGCCACTGGGATTACAAATATATTCCATCATGCTTGGCTTCATTGCATTTTTTTTTTAATTTGTAGTTGTGAATGGACAGAATGCCTTTGTTTTTTCTTTTTTTTTTTTGTTTGTTTATGTGGTTCTAAGGATCAAACCCAGTGCTTCACACGTGCCAGGCAAGAGCTCAGCCACTGAGCCCCAGCCCCAGCCCTGTACTGCCATTTTTAAACATTGTTAAAGTCCAGTGTTATTTAAACATAGTAGGCAGAAAAGTAGAAAATTTAGAATCTTTATAATTTACAAAATAAACTTTCTCCTTTCAGATGAAGGGAGAACAATTATGTTTTCAATTGTTAAATAATAATTACATATATTTAGAGGACACAAGGTGATGTTTTGGTATTTGTATACATTATGGAATGATTAATCCAAGCTAATTAACATACCTATAATCTCATATACTTATCATTTTTGTGATGATAAAATTAAAATGTACTCTTTTAGTAAATTTGAAATATGCAATATATTATTATTAATTATACTTACCATGTTGTGTAATGAATCTCAAAAATGTATTCCTCGTGTCTAACTAAAACTTGTACCTTTGACCAGCATCCCTTACTCTTCTCTCTACTTTCTACATCTACGAATTCATCTTTTTAAAGTTCTGCACCTAAGGAAGATCATGTAGTGTTTGTCTTTCTGTGCCTGGCTTACTTCACTTAGCAGAATATCTTCCAGATTCTTCCACATCATCTCAAATCACAACATTTTCTTTTTTTAAAGAATAGTATTGCTTTGTGTATATTCTATCTTTGTGTATATTCTATCTACCATATATTCTATCTTCATAAACCCATTGATGAACAGTTAGGTTAATTCTACATCTTGGCTATTGTAAACAATGCTGAAATGAACATGGTAATATGGATAGTCTTTAACTGATTTCATTTCCTATGAATATGTACTGAATTGTGGGATTGCTTTACCGAATGGAAGTGTTTTAGGTAGCAGTTTTTTGTTGCTGTGACCAAAATACTGGACAAGAATAATATAGAGGAAGGAAAGTTTATTTGGGGATCATGGTTTCAGAGGTCTCAGGCCACCAACAGCCCACCTCCATTTTTCTGGGTCTGAGGTGTGGCAAAACATCATGACATAGTTATTTATTTGTGTCTGTATTAGTTTATCATTTCTTTATAAATTTCAAAATATAGATCATTTACCGCCCTGATTAAATTTATTCCTGAGTATTTTGTTTTTTATGAGGTTATTGTAATTGGGAATGTTTCCTTGATTTACTTTTAGGATAGTTTGTTGTTGGCATTATAGAAACACAATTTTTATAGAAACGTGATTTTTGTATGTTCATTTTATATTTTGAATCTATATTGAATTTGTTTATCTGTTATAACAGGTTTTTTTTTTTTGTAGAGACTTTAGGGTTTGAGATTTATTCTGTTGTCTGTAATTAGAGATAATTTAACTTCTTCCTTTCCTATTTGGATGCCTTTTTGTTTCTGGGCTGGTCTGGAACATAGAGTGGACCTGACACCTGGACTAATAGGGACTGGCCTGCTGTTAGGCAGGCCTAAAGCCTCTACTAAGAGACTGGATGCCCAGATTCTGACCTGACGATGAGGGAAATGATCTGGTGCTAGGGGAAGTTTGGATCCCAAGGATGCTAGAGCTAACCCAATCTCAGTGGAGTTGATTTTGGAGTGGAGCAGACAGGAGACCAAGTCCCCAGGGAATCCCTGAAATCTGGAGCCAGACTGGTGTTAGGGCAGTGCATGAGTATCAGTCTGGAGTCTAAGACCCTGTGGGTCCTTCTGGTGCTGGATTTTACTGATGAAGGTCCATTGTTTGTATTTGAGGCAAAGTCTGAGACTTACTTCCCTGTCCTTCCCCCAAGTAGGTCTCCCACCAGGTGGTGCTGCCTGGGGTTTGAGGAGTAGTGATGTGGGTAATTTTCCTTTCTGCTCTTTTCAATGTGTTTTCTTATTTTTTGGTTAGACCCATGTGCTATAATTTCTCACCTGACTTTCTTAGCCATTACAAAGATATTTTCTTATATAGTTGCTTGTTCAATCTCATGTTTATTTGAGGTAATGAGTATGGGAAAGTCCTATTCCACGATTTTGCTGACATTACTCTCAGACCAAGTAGACACATAGAGAGCAGTAACTCCCAAATTGAGACTAGCTCTTCAGACAAAACAAAACAAAACAAAACAAAAATTGTCCCCTTACAAAAGCCTAAGTTCCTAAATTTTTAGGCATTGATAAATGTTGCTGAGGAAGTGAAAACAGAAAAACAATGGCAGTTTAGTTAAAATTTCTATTAAGAAGGTTCTTGGGTGTTGGGGATGTGGCTCAAGCGGTAGCGTGCTCGCCTGGCATGTGTGCGGCCCGGGTTCGATCCTCAGCACCACATACCAACAAAGATGTTGTGTCTGCCGAGAACTAAAAAAATAAATAAATATTAAAATTTAAAAAAAAAAAAAAAGAAGGTTCTTGGCATAGTTTAGAATTGTATTATCAAATCACAAAATAAACAGAAGAAAAAGTGGTTCCTAAGGATTAGTATGTAAATGTGTTTACAGTTAAAAAAACACACACATACATGAATACATATACATTCATATGCAAATAGTAAGATCATCATTTCATTTCTCTTATTTGTCACACTATGTTTTAATTTAAGCCATCATTTAGAAGGGTCATTTCTGAGGGTAAGAGCAGATAGGTGTATAGATTATTATAGTTGCTTACTTTATCACTAAGCATATGCTTAAGTACTTTAAAAGTCTTTTATTGCTATGAAAATAATCAGGGCTAATGATTGTTCTCAGCTCCTTACACCAACAATTCACATGAAACCTCTAAAAACTCAGTATGCTAATGCTGAGTGACAGTGCCCTTGTCATATAAAATGTCCCCCTCTCCTTTAGCTTACACAGTCATTTCTGTTTTGCACTGTCACTTCTTTACATTTGTGTGGGTTGGCAGTCGGCTAAGACTATAAGCTGCTTGAAAACTCTCATACTTCTATTTTGTTCCTCATGTCAACCAGCAGAGAATTGGCTGCAGACTAGATAGATATTCAGTACTTGTTAGCTAGTGGAAACCATTCAAGTAGAGATAAATGCTGCATTCTGTAGGAAGAACACAGATGT